ATAATTTTGATTGCGGTAAAGCGGTTATTCAGGCGCCAATGGCTGTCTTGAGCTCATTAAGATTCTCAAGATTGCTCTTCTATACTTTTTGTATCCTTCCGTAGTTTTCAATAGAACTCCATAGTGGCCCTTTTACTGCCACTGACTTCGAACATCGGCAGTAATTTTAATAATTTCGGCTCTTTGTTGGTTTTTATATATCTTTCCATGATGAAATTGCAATCCTTACCTTGAAAACCCCTATAATTCCGTCTGGAATATGTTCCTGTGTTTGGTAGACGAAAAGAGAGATACAAGTATATCATGATATATCATATTCTCACCTGGAAGTAGCTATTGAAATCCAATCTTGCTAGAACATAGTTTAATTTACTTAGATTTGTATCGAGCTGTTCCAGCTATTAAGATAGACATAATACCGGCCTCACTAGGACCAACCAAGAGTGACCTCTATAAACGATTTGATCAAAAAGTTTGCCATTTGGAGAACATGCGCCAAAAATGATGGGTACGTCTTATAAAAAAACTTGACAACCTGAAGATATACTTATACACTTTCTCATGAGTGCCCAGCTGGAGATCATGGGATCCACAAAGTATCAAAATCTGAAAGTCTATCTACAAAAAGCCTCATGGCGCCACCTAGTGGGCAGCACATGGTTTGAGCACAGTGAAAAAACGTGATAAAAAAGATGTGAAGTATTTACGATAGTGCATGAAAAGGAGACTAAATTCTTACCTACCTATATACCTGAATAAGACCTAACACAAATGAGATGGTATATTCTCCAAGCATTCAGCAGAGTTCCCAGATTCCCTTAATTCCAATATCATTATTTTTAGATGGATTTCTTTCTAGCAGTAATATTCTAGAATCTTACCTCTTCTTAGAAACTGTTCCAGAAGCAAGCCAGCATCAAGTGTTGATTAAATCCAGATTTTTTTTACTCAGAAATAGCTTTTTCACGCCATGTTAATTACATTTAAAATTCCCTGCTTTTTGCATCTGCCATTCTTCATTCTCTCCTGTGTTAAACGATTTTGCTGCTTATTGTCATTACTTCGCTTTTTATGGCCTCATTCATTCACAGGAAGGCACTATGCCAGCTTAATGCTGCAGAACGGTGGTCAATTCCCACAACATTAATTCCATTAACACTGCCGGCAAAATCATTAGCATAAGCTTAACAGCTGTACATAATACATACTAACAGAGTGTTAAGAATTGTGGCTAAGCGAAAGCAAGAAGCAGCAATAGTTTTACAAAAAAAATAAGAATGTATAAGTTTACTATGTATGTCAAATGGTTTTTATGATATGAAGGTGTAAATAAATATACGATATATATATATGTATATATGAACAAATATATGTCAATAAAAGCTCAACGAAAACAATTTCCATTTTCTTCCACAACTGCTTTAAAGCAGTTTTTGTAATAAGTCAAATAGGAATCAAAATTAAATTCACAATCTAGCATTACTTCCTTCCATGCCTGATAGCGCGTAGAAAATTTTATTGCAACACTTCTACTGCATTGTTAAGTGCACTCTGAACACTTTCACAAGCAGCGAACTTCTTGACACACTTTGATAGCGCAACAGCTTGATGAATTGCATTTGATTGCCGCTATCAGCTGGATTAGTAAATAACTGGAGCAAGCGGCGATTAGAATGTCTTTCACAATTGCATTCTATTTGGGCTTTCCCAAAAATATTACGCTAGTAATAGAAATTAATATCAATCTAATCGTTGTTAAAAGTGATAAATAATATATATAAGGTGTGTCGTCTTTTAATATATTATGTGGTGAAAAATTGAGTAACTTTGATATTTTCTAACCGTTTAAGTTAGCCAGACAAATTTTGGAAACCTCAATTCAGTTTAGATGCACACACTTTCATTTTTAAACACTGGAACAAAATAGATAATTTGGTAAGCGATGAAGCCTGTTTTACAATGACTGGCAGTAAAAAAGCAAAAAAATAAAAATAAAAATAATAAAATAAAATTATGAGTGACTTAAAGAGTACGGTTTTTGTTCGCCGAAAGAGGCCTCTACTTCTGAATTACCTACTCAATCCGAGGAATCACCTCTTCTCAAGAGTTATTCTACGTTGACTTTCGAGGCGGACATTGTTGTTGGTATTAATGCTGGTTCCTAGATAGACGAACTTATCTACGACATCAAAATTATGATTGCAATGATATCGATGTCAAGCAGATATATGCTCTTGTAGAAGATTGTACCTTCTCGATTCAGCTCTGCAGCTCGAATTATTTTCTCCAAGAGTAAATTGAAGAAGTCATCGTAGGCTCATCACACTGTACTTGGCGCAGATTGACGCATTTAAATGCCAATCATTGTTCATGCTTTCGCCCGATCATAATCTACAAAGAAGCTGATGTATGTTCATTTCATTGCCACCGTATTCGAATATCTCGCCCGACAATCCATCGGCCCACACCGTTTTGTTGTTTTTCATACCGGTAATTGCTTCTTCATTGTGAGGCTACGTTGGCATGTCTGCTCTATCGTTATCGTCTATCGATTAAGGGATCGGGTTCACCATCTTCTGTTGTTAGGCTTTCACTGTCATTGTTCCCTCCCTTTGAGTATGTTCTGGTGATCAGTCACTAGATTGTAAAATTTTTATTTTATTTTATATGTAAATTATTGTTTGTAAGAGACCGGTATTGTTTCATATTACTCAGTCAATAATATATGTATATATTTACCTAGCTTAATTACCTTTAGTAAGTTCGTTAGAGGATATTTTCAAGATACACCTGAGCTCAGACAAACTGAGTTTTGAAATCGAAAATTATAGTCGCAGTAGAGCAATACCACTTTTCGAATAGTATTAATCGGTTAATATTCATAGGAACTATTAGTTACAGACCGGATTTCAGGTTATCCGAATAATTTTAAGAGTTCTATTTGAATCATTTGGGACACTTTCAGATATCCCAGCCAACTCGTGAGAACTGAGATTTAATGCCTGAGCAAATTTGTATCGACCTCTATTTTTAGAACATTGCAGTCCAAGTGCAATCTCTGGGTCAGCGGCCAGACCTAACCAAACCCCTTATAGTTGTGGTGTTTAACTTATCTTCTCGGTATTTCACTTCTCATATCATTCACCGACATTGAACTTGAAGATTTTTTTTTCATGTTACAACTAACCTAAATTGACACGCATTAAATTCGGTACTCTAATAAAGTATATAGTGTAGTTGAGGTTGGGGTGATTTAAAAACTAGATTAAACAACAAAATCTGTAAAAGCTTGCATTTTATGTCAATTTATAAAAAACCGCAGCTTGTTTTAGAGGTCACCTTTTGTTAACTATGCATGCGTAGAAACTCCCACGAAGCGGAAAGCAAAACCTTTAACAATACATAAAAAATATTATTTTTGGAATATTTAATATTCAGTACAACTACTGGAATAAAATAAAACAATATAGTAGTAGAAATTACAAATTCATAATAATTAATCTGCTGAAAAGTACGTCAAAGCATAGTAATACCTTTTCAGTTTTAAATAAAGCTGTGAGTTCAATGATTCACTTTGTGTAGATACGAGTTATGTAATTAGAGTATAAGGCCTTATTTCACCTGCTACAAGCTCTACATCTCACTTTCAATACAAATACAACAAATTTGCATATTTTGTTAAAAGAACTTAAAAATTTCGAATATTGTTAGACAATAGGTAGGTAGGCAGGTAGCMATGCTTCCACATGGGCATAATTAGCTTTGGATGTGCTAATTTTATACACTATCGTATTACATTATAATCTTGTCAATCCGTTTCATCATTGCGCTCAAACTATTTGGTGCTCTCAATTAAACTACTATGCCAGTCATTCAAGTTTCTTTTTCTGGTGGGTTCAAGTTATTCTCTGCCCGCTTTGTAATGGAGCTGCACATAAAGAGAAAAAGTGAAAAACAATTTCCACATTCCCTTCCACCTTGCAGTAGCAGTAAATATTGGTATAAGGCAGCCCCGTTTTAACTTCCTTAGAACCTTCCTCTCGAAAACTCGTGACGTCGACTCATCAGATGTTGTCATCGTGAATGCCTTTGCTCCATTTAACAGGACGGGAATAATGAGTGACTTATAGAGTTTTCTTTTTCTTAATCGAGAGAGGACTTTACTTCTCAATTGTCTACTCAGTCCAAAATAGCACCTGTTGGCAAGAGTTATTCTGAGTTGATTTCTGAACGTAATTTTTAATAATCTTTGATTTTAATGCTGTCATGCTTGGCTTATACTTCTAGCTAGATATTGATTACCATATTTTCTGAGTTATATATTGATCCTTTCCAGCGGGAAGGTATTAATTCCATCTCTGCTTTGTCTAAAGAAACTCTTAGCTTCACTAATTCGATTGTCTTTTCATTGCCGAACTCTTAAGGCCGTCTGTATACCTAGCACATCCGTTAGGAAGATGCTGGCTAAGTTTGGTAGACAGATAGAGAGAGAAAGAGACGCATTCTGAAGTTCAAAACATACTGTAACGATTGTCTTATTGGATGGTTTTTATGTCGATTTTATCCACCTTACTGAACTATTTTATTTTCTATTTATCTCTCTGAAATATGTTCTATTAAGTCATGATTTGTTTTCCGTATCTAAGTTTTGGGGATACAAATATGTAGCAAGAGTTATTATATTTGGTGGAAGTAGAACTTTCCAGAAATATGCAGGAACAATCTTCGGTCCAAAATATAAATAGTATATAAGAACCTTACTAAAGCGTTCTTTTTTATACCCATATGTATGTCAGATAGTTTGAATTATGCTAGTTCTTAGTTCGATTAACCACTCCCCAAGGTTTTGTGATTTGAAGACAGATGACGTCTGATGTTTTAAAAGAATTTCTGGTAACTTTCATTGGTTTATGTTCAACCAAAAATATATTTCTAATAGATAATAATGTCATTGCAAATTAAAGTTTTTATAATATTAATTTTAATTAAATTTTCTTTAGTTTTAGCATTCCACGTCAAAATCAGACAACGCGTAGCATCATGACCTTCTACTGGTGGTCACATTGGTTCTGGATAACAACATTGAGTAGTGAGTAAACTGTGAATATTGAAAGAAATATCAAATTTAAATATTCTCACAATATCTATAGCTATCCTTCTGAGCATAACCCTCGTACACACATATCCAAGCCAAGAGATTTCCTTAGAGTACAATCAAGATAGTAAATCCGTGAAAGCGGTGACAAAACTACATCAGACGACGACGAGTTTAGAATGGTCCACAACAACACCAGCTACACTAGTGACTACGTCCAATAAAAACACCGAATTAGACACAGTTGTGGCACCAATAATACAACAGCAAATTAACCACAACGCCGGCAGTACAGATGAAGAGCTGGTCTCTGAAGATGTAGACACGAAACAAGTTGCGTCAGCTTTTAGTGAGGTAGAGGACACTTCCGAGCACGAAAAAGAGAACATTGTAGAAAATGAAGACCGGTCAACAGCAGAAGAGGTTGAGTATAAACGATCTGCAGAGAGTTACAATAAAACCATAGAAGAGCCAAAGAGGCTTGCGGATGAAGAAAGCGTTGAGGAACCACGAGTCGCTGCGGTCGTAGCTGAGCAGCGATCAGCCTCCATTGAGGAAAGCAGACAAAAATTGAACCGCGCTAATGAAGAGCTGAGCAACTATACAAACAGCACTCGAAAACGCGATGGGATCAGGTGCGTATTTTTGGAAATCTCTCTTCATTTTATAATACTTTAAATATTTGTCTAAATTTCAGAGGCAATGCAACCTGTGTGAATTGTAAGGCGGGAGCGCACGAGCCCAACAGCACCGCGGAGGCCACGCGCACACTCGAAGCGCCAAAAGCCTTGACTAACAACTCGACTACGACTGCGGTCAACGCGAACTCGCGCATAGACTCTCTGCATTCCGGCACACTGGAGTGGCTGAACCCGATGGCGGCATCCGCAGCGCTCCCAGTGCCCAAATTGCTGACCAACGCGCCACAAGCGACCGACATCGATCGTGAAGTAGTCACAGTGCCAACAGAGTCTGCGACAGTCGACGTTGCGGCGGCGGCAACGACACAGCAACGCATACCCTTTACGTTGGAGAATGCCAATAAAGAGGACGAACTGCGACGTGCCGAAAGCGAACATCGTTCACGCAAATCGAAAGTGCTCTCAGCCGAGTACAAGCACATCAATCGCTACATCAACTACTCGTCGGACAGCAAAAGTCTGCTGACGCGTAGCGCCGCCACAACGCCCAATGATTTCGGTGGCGTTGAAGAGGGCAACATTTCCTCGGAGGCGCTTTCGATACAGGTGAGTGTAATTACACACTTTTACTTCTGTGTGTTCTAATCAAGTGCCGTTACTTGCAGCGCACGTACTTCTTGGACGCTGGCGCGATCTCAGCCATCTGCTTTACCATATTTGGTGTTTGTTGTACGGTCGGCACTATTGGCATAGTGCTGTATCGGCGTAGGTACGTGAATAAGCCGCAGGCGCTGAGCGAACCCGATTCGAGTGTCTACATCGATGATAGCACGATGCGTGTAAGTGTAAGGAATCGTTTACAGAGGCAATGAGCTTTTAATGGCTGCGTTAATAAAGTTAATTTCTTTTGACGATTTACAGGATAACTCTGATGAGATGTACAGCTTGGACAATGACTCCTTTCTCAACTCACTGGAGGCGATGACAATACAAAACTACTGGACGGACACCGTTAAACATACAAAGCTTTAATTTCCTTTACAAAAACAAAAACCACAAACACATATATATGTACATATGTATGTGTATGTACCACTTATATGTAACGTCATGCACACGTATATAAATAAATGTGACGTGTGCGCGCGTATATAAAAATATAAAATAGTGAATTAGTTTAAAATAATAGCATGCATATTTGAAGAATTATAATATAATTAAATTAATGAGCGTCTACTAAACTCAAATTAACATAATCATTAAGTTTACACATTTAGCTGTTAATAATTGAGATTGAGATTGGAATTTTATATATATCTATATGTTACTTAATTTCATGTTTTACCGTTGCGCACTGCGTGTGATTAGTAAGCAAGTCTCGACAGTGTGTTGAAACATTGAATGTAGTGTTAATATTATTTACTAATTCAATTGTTTATTGTTTGTAGAGACATTTGTTAAAAAATATTTTTAGTTTAATTTAATGGTTTTATTTTTT